CTGCTGCCCGGAGTGTCATCCAAGGTGGTGGACACACTCACTGGCCAAACCTTGCCCCCAGATCACAACGGAGAGATCTGCATTAAAACTCCAGCGGTATTAGTTCACAGATGTTGTTTTCTCTATATTTTTCACTTCCACTTTGCAGGGGGAATGGTCTGGGGGGTATGGGATGGGCTTTGACTGGGCGGGGTCAGCCTAAGCTAAATGCTTTAGGAAATATTAACGATTATAAAGACCCCCATGTAATTTTCATGGAGTCACGTGTGAAATATGTAAAGTGTTTGCCTCAAAGTTTTTGGTTATTGTAGCAATATTTTTTCTTAGAGACCCATATAGTTATTTCAGTGCTTCTTAATAATACTTTTTCTGAGAGAAGGGGGTGTGAGAGTCCCCCCTTCCCCATGTTAATGGGAAGGGGGGGGCGAAGGTGTCAAGGCATATATGTGGCCAAGAGAGGGAAAATGGAGAAAGTGTGGAAATAGGAAATTTGTATATGATGGATTCAGCAATATAAAAAGTTCTGTCACTGCATGAGTAAAGTCAGAACTTACTGATGATGACGCCTCGCTGCCTAACGACTCTCAATTTATATATATGGATGTATTATTGTAATAAAGCATGGTAAATGGCCAATTTAAGCTCTAAAACAATTAATAATAACTTATCCTGAATTGAGAACTGGAGTCTATCTGACAGTAGCCAGATGATGTCTCTTGCTGAGACCAGATTCTGTATTTTGATGATGGTTTAGCAGCTTGATGATAATGATTTCGATGACACAGCATTGTTGTAAATGATTTGAATAGCTTGATCAGATATGGAGTGCACGTTGTTGCATCTCACTTGGTAGATGAGGCCTTGGTGGCGCCTCACTAGCCGGTGGACCTCCACACTCCTACTTTAGATAAATTGCACTATGAATTCCTCCCTATACACAGTTCAGTAACTCCTCCAGTATCCAGGGAACCACTATTGAAGGTTATAATTAGTGTGTGTGTAGATGTCTTGCTGAATATGTCTCCAGCACTTCACACGTGCTCACTCTTTGAATGTAAACACAAGATGTGTTCAGGTACTGGACCACTCTGCTGGTGGCGTCCCCTTCACAGTGGAAGTGCTGCCAATGATTATAGTTTGATTATTTTCATTATTTAGAATGATTATTGTGATAAAGTTATATCATAATATTAACACCTAGTCGATATAAAGATTATTGACATTACTTAATAGTACAATTTGTCCTTTATTAAGGATTTTGAAAATATGTCACTGGAATTTATTATTTTGTTCCAACAATATTTTTTTTTTATTATCAATTACTCCTGATAACTTCTAGATTCTTGATATTTCATGGACATAGTCACATGCATTGAGCCCAATAGAATAATTTACCAAAATGGTCATATAGGCTGGTAATGTAGATACCAATGATCCTTAAATCATCAGTAGATATGATTCTGCAGTAAAATATAGATATGGTAAGTGAAATTTTCCATAATACACTCTGTTCAACTGAAACAGGTATACTGAGCTTACAAGGAGAAATCTAGACATTTCAAAGTGTGGATACACCTTACTTTATGATTCACCTAACCCCTAAATCGTAGGGAGCAAAAAGAATAGGGTGAGGTGATTGTTGTCTGACTCGTCTAGTTGTCCGCCTGGTCTGTCATCTTCTGTCTGGATCAATGCAGGACTATAAAATACCTGTATGATCGAAGTGGAATTCTTCTGGATATTGATTACTGGTGTCAACTCACTGAGCTTGGCTGGAATGCATCCTTAAGTTGAAACAAATGCTCAATATCAAGTACCTCCAGGAATATGTCATCTACGTATCTACAGTAGACACACAGGTTTAGGCTCATGTCATCATGGACTTTCTGTGCGATAGAACTCAAATTATCAAATTATCAAATAGGACACCATGGGGGATAACCCATAATGATGCCATCTACTTGTTTATACATGCGCCCATCAGGACTCAGGAAGGGTGCCTCTTTAGTACATGTTTCGGGTAACTAACTAAGTGTGCCTTCTGGGATGTCACGGGGAGTACAAGCTGGATTCCGATAAACTCTGTTCATCACCATTCCAATAATTTCATCCACTAGGACATTGGTGAACTGTGACTTAATACCAGGAGACACTCCTCACGATGTCCGTGACCTCTGTAATAAGTCAACAAATTAATTTTGAGGTTTAAGGCTAGGCCCGTGGCAAGTATGGAGTTAGGAAAGAATTAAATCACTTAGCCAGTCTGACCGTGGGCATAGGTATCTGGCTGATGATTGGTAGGAGTGGATTTCCAGGTTTGTGAGTCTGGACAGTCCCCCATATCTTCCCACTCCAGTAACAGGCTGATTTACCAGCTGATAGTCTGATACAGGCTGATATTTCTTAAAGCCTTTAATTTATATCTACCCTGACCAGCCTATGTCCGTCCTTTACCCCAAGCCATTTTCCCTGCAAGTTTGGGTGAGGATAGCCAAGCGACTGAGGCTGCACCCTAGAGGAAGCATCCGGCTGCCCTCGGGTCTCTCTCACCAGTCATGTCACCCCTCCCATCTCTCTCCAAATTAACTCCCCCTCCCATCTCTCTCCAAATTAACTCCCCCTCCCATCTCTCTCCAAATTAACTCCCCCTCTCATCTCTCTCCAAATTAACTCCCCCTCTCATCTCTCTCCAAATTAACTCCCCCTCTCATCTCTCTTTCTCTAATTCTCTCTTCCACTCATCCTTACCCCTCTCTTTTCCACTCACCCCTACCCCTCTCTTTTCCCCTCACCCCTACCCCTCTCTTTTCCCCTCTTTCCCTATAGCCCCCTCTCTCTTCCACTCTCTCCCTGCCTTTTCCCCAAACATCCCCCTCTCACACTTCTCTTCCAATCTCCCAGTCTCTCCCTTTCTGTCAATCTTATTGAATCTCTCAGCTCTCCCGTATTCTCTACAACTCTCACCCCCCCCCTGTTCTTACCTTTCCACCTTCTCGTCCCCTTTCCACTATCCTCCCTCTCTTCTTCTCTCTCTCTCTTTCCTTCTCCCCAACATACCCCTATCATTACTTCTCTCACCTTTGTCTCTCTTTCTCTCTCTCTCTCTCTCTCTCTCTCTCTCTCTCTCTCTCTCTCTCTCTCTCTCTCTCTCTCTCTCTCTCTCTCTCTCTCTCTCTCTCTCTCTCTCTCTCTCTCTCTCTCTCTCTCTCTCTCTCTCTCTCTCTCTCTCTCTCTCTCTCTCTCTCTCTCTCTCTCTCTCTCTCTCTCTCTCTCTCTCTCTCAGAAAAAGTAATTCAGAATTCATGTTCATAATTTTCTAGTCAAGAAATCTAGGGTGTTTGCTAGTCACATACCACTGACTTTGTAGAAGATAATTATTATGTCTCACCTCTCCCCTCCCCCACTCTTAATAGGACCAATATTACTGACCCCAACCAGCCAATAACAGTCCCGTACTCCAGACACCCCCCCCCCCTGCAAAGGTGGTGGGGCTGGAGCCAGGTGTCTGGTCACCATCCTCAGACAAAGAAATAGACATACAGAATGACATGTTAATCTGCAAAGGAGTAATTTTAATGTCATAAAATCATATAGAAGTAATTAATTTAAATAAGTTAAATATTTGATAACAGCTCTAAACTAATTACAACCAGAATTAAAAAGTCTTCATTCCTCTCTCACAGATGATGACTGGGTATTACCGTAAACCCGACGCCACATCAGCGACCATAGACAGTGAAGGGTGGCTCCACTCTGGGGATATCGGCAGTTGTGATGAGGAAGGCTTTTTTACCATCGTCGACCGCATTAAGGACCTCATCAAAGTCAAGGCTCTGCAAGTATGATATTCACAATATTTCCTGATTTATTATCAGATTGAATTTCAGTTTTAACATTTTAAGGCGTCAGTCAGTGCTTGAATTAGATACTGATAATCAAGATAGAAGTTCTAAATGTAGTTGTTGTCGTCCTTGTATACTAGTCACCAGATGCAAGGTCTTAGCAGTTTGAAGACCAACTAATAGAAGTAAAATACCGCTAACAAAAGCTCAGAAACCTAACCCCAAACATCATCTTGCTCGCTGGCCACAACTTAAGGCACTTAAACTGGAAAAAATGTGACAAATACCGTAATGTCATAGTGAGCTTCAGGCTCATACACGGGAGGTCCGCGGATCGAGTCTCCTAGAGCCCAGGTGAATGGAATCATAGTGAGTTCCAGGATTATGTGACACATTTACCTTTAACCAACAAACAGATGAACCAATCAGATAGAAAATGCCCTAGACCTTATTTTCGGAATAGATAATGAACTGATACGGAATATAATTACAAATGTTACTCAGATAACAATTGAATTGAAGTTCAGACAAGTGGGAACAATAAGCCTGAACAGCCAGTCACAAATGCAAAAGGCGGAATTCTGCAAACACACGTTTAATAATAAACTAACTTACTGGGAACTAAAAACAATGCCCTCACATAAAGTAGCTGACTAAAACAGCAAGACACTTAAATTCTTCGCCAGTGCCTCAAGAGAACAGACACATCAGCACTAGACATATGCTCAAGTCACATGCTAAGAATAAAACGAAAAAAAAAATGCAAATTGGAACGAAAACGGAATTTTCTCTATTGGTAAAGAAAACAAATTACAGAACTACGGCACTGCAGTTTGTGTCCGAAATGAGAATGAGGAAACGTACTGGAGGAATCATAGTAGTCTATGGGATGAAGCTTTTCATGGTGGAAGATCATAATTTTACTTTGCTATAACTCTTTGGGTTTTGTTCTGAACCCGTGTTGTCCAGGGTTATGCAGATGTTGTGACTTCATGAGTTTATTTTCTTCTGATCATTCTATCGAAGATTTTTATGGTGTGTGATGTTAGAGGTGTAGTGTGATGTTGTCTATAACTTTTTGTCTCCTTTATCACCACTTTGTGGAGTGGCACGATCTCTGCTGTTTAAGTGTAACGGGGAAAACACCTGAATCTGGGCATCGTCTCCAAATAATATTAAGAGCATTTGATAGTTTTTTTTAATTCTAAAGTGTATATGGAATTCCAGAAATCTGGGCCTGCGAAGTTGTGCATGTGCATGCCGTCTATGGTTACTTCAAAGCCCAGCATCTCAGGGTTAGGGTGACATCTGATGTATAAGTTCATGAAGAAGTCGTTTGGGTTGGTGATCATTAGTGAGTAAGAGTTTACTGAGTTCAAACAGTCTTACTGTATCCTCAGTATTTAATTAATTTCTTTTTTCTTTCTTTCTTGTAATCAGTGAAAAATTCAATTTTCTCTGCTCATGGGCCCAACTCTAGATGTAGGTTTTGTTTTATATTTTGGATAGAAGAATAAATAGTTTGGTTAAACTCGTTTTCACTTATTTCAATTTGCTTGCTTTGTCCCTCCTGGATTTTATATGATTCTTACAACTGTAGTTCCATCGCCTATATTTCTCTACATAACCTTACTAACCTACATAACTCCTCCTAGTTAAACAGGACGTTAAAACTAATAAAGGGTAACCGACGGGTTCTCACAATCAAATATTTATATTTGATGTGGCGCTATGAATTGGGATTCGAATTCCCAAGAACAGCCGCCTTATCAAGATCACATCAACATTAATAATATGCAGAAATATGGTGGAATAATATGGTTGAAGGGTTGACATCAAAGACCGTTTTCTATAACATAACAATTTATTAATAACAAGAGACTAACTACTACATTACCGAGTTTACGTTACATTAATGTCAATCCAGTGGCATGATAACAAACAGCTAAATAGCAACCCTTGCTGTGAGGCTGCACACTGAACTAACCTGAACACAGGTGTGCCCACTGATGACGCAATATTGCAAATCAAAGAAAAATATCACAGACTAAGTTACACCACAGTGAATGGTTACATTATTGTACATCAAGTGGCATTTGCAACACAGCTATTCAACAGCCCCTCGAGAAGTGACAGCAGGCTCCATCTTGCTGACACTTTGGGCTATAATTACGTTAATTGACTGATGTGGGGAAATTCCAGGCAGCTAATCTCTCTTTTTCAAATTGACTTTAATAAAATAAAGTTATGTCTTATTTATTTTCTTAGTAAGTAAGAATTAATTGAGTGGACTGTATATACTTGTAAACTGCCTGAAATCTTCTTACACACTATTGGGAGGGACAATTGGTAGCCTAAACCACTTTGTTATGGCTCCTTAAACTACCAATTGTTTACCTTTTAATTTGTTATAATTCAGTATACCACATATGGTGGTCTAATCTACTAGTAATACTAATTATGACTACTAAGACTAGTACAAAATGGCTTAGCTGTGCCAGTAGTGTGGGCTTGGTAAGGCGTGTAGGTGTAGCCTCAGATTGGGTGTGGCCCTGTGCCTCCTGGTGCCACGTAATGGCGGCTTGTGGGAATGACAAAGCTTGGCAAGCAATTAGTAATGTGTATGAACCAACTGTCTGCTCAACTTGCTGCTGCTCTCACAATTTACCTGTATGGGATGCAAGGAATTAATCAAAGTTCCCTAAACATATCAATTACAGGTATGACATGAACTGTGAGGGTTGTAAAATGGGGTACACGTACATGTGGTTTGGGTTGTTCATACATTATGACCGACTTATTTTTATAAATGAATAAATGTGCACATTATAATTCAGATACAAAATACTTGATAAGCCGGATACAGTCGTTGTTGTGATAGTTGTTAGGCTGTGTTGCTGGTGTTGACACGTAAATGGGGTGTCTAGTTGTTTACACCAGCTAGAGCCAATACAGCGTGGTGGCTGCTCTGTTGTTGTTGTTATGTTATGATGCGGGAGCCTTCCTCCCAGTCGGGCAACGCCCTCATGCTGGTTCCTCTCTCAAAGTAATTTTACATTAACAAGGGAACCTAGCTACAATACGGTGTTAATAATTATATTCAGTCTTATGGATTACTTTTTTGTAACTCTAGATACTAAACTAGTCTATTGACAATGTTTCATAATGTAAATATACGATGACTTCCATGACGTCACGGAGTCGATGACGTCACGGAGTCTCCCATTTTCCATCCTGAAGGGATTACAGACTAAGGGAGACTGTGTTATATGTGTGTGTGTCGGTTTCCCGACATAATTCCGGGGGGGCAGAACACGGGTCGAAGTCCCGGTAAGGACTGCGATCACTTTATTCTTCTCCCTCAGAATTATAGTGCTGCTTTAATTTGAGTTTACATTGTTGTGCAGCAGTCCGTTGGGGACGTATGTCCCGTACTGGCGTATCGGGTGCTGGAAGTCGTTGCACGTCTTCTTTCCTGGCCAGTTCTAAAGGTACTAATTTCTCTAAAGTTTTGAGAGTAGTGTTGCCTTTGCATTTTACTTTCACTATTCTCAAGATGCCCTGGCTGTCTGGATGAACAGAGACTATTTCACCTATAGGCCACTCTGAGCGTGGTCTATCACTATCCACCAGAACTATGTCACCAGGGTTTAAGTTAATTCTGTTATAGGGGTTGTTTGCCCCGTAATGATACTCCCTCAGAGCTGTTAGGTATTCACGAGTCCATACGTCATTCCACCGACTTTTCACCATTGAAAGATGTTTGAAACGTTGAACCAAATCACTCTCTTTGACATATGAAGGATCCTCTGGTTCCTCATCCGTAAGGGACACAAGTGTTTTGAGAGGTCTCCTATACATCAGATGAGCTGGACTTAATGGTTCACGCTGCAAAACATCATCAGAGAGGTAGGAAAGTGGTCGGTTGTTAACTCGTGCTTCTATCTCTATGATTACTGTTTGAAGCTCCTGAAGGTCAATCTTTTGGCGGTGTAGGGTTTTCCGTAAAGACCGTTTAACCGTACCAATCATGCATTCATAGAAGCCTCCGTGCCATGGTGCTCTGGGAGGTATGAATTACCAATGGCACTGCCGTTGAGTTAGGGCAGTGCGTACCTTTGGGTGTGTCCAGATTTTCCTCAGGCATGCTTCTCCTGCCACCAAGTTGGACCCATTGTCTGAAATCATTAACTTAGGACAAGATCTACGTGAAGCAAACCTGCGGAAAGCCTGTAAGAATGCTTCGGCACTCATATCGGGAGTCACTTCTAGATGGACTGCCCTTGTTGTGGCACAAGTAAAAAGACAGATATAGGCCTTTACTGGTTTCTTGTCTTTAGTGCCTGTCAGTGTTAGTGCTCCTGTGAAATCTACTCCTGTTGTCTCAAAAGGATGAATATGTACGACTCGTTCCTTCGGAAGTGGAGGAGGGCCAGGATATGGACACACTCTGGCATCGTATCTCCGGCATACAACACAGGATTTGATTATGGATTTTACTGTCTGTCTACCTTGGGGTAGCCAGTACTGTTGTCTTAATTCTGTGAGAGTATCTAATACCCCACCATGCAGAGTGCAGTATTTGTGTATATGTAACACAATTAGTTTGCTTACTATGTGGTGACGAGGGAGCAATATTGGATTTTTTGCTTCCAGATCTATGTCAGCATGTTGTAAGCGTCCTCCGCATCTTATCAAGTTATAATTATCAGTGTCTAACCAGAGACCCAGATCATGTTGTAGCGTCTTAGGAACATTGTCAATTTCTGTCCCGAATGTGTCGGTCTGAGCTCTTTTAACCCAGTACCTTAGGGCACTAGGGAATTTATGCTTGATTCCTATTTTCTTTAGAAAATCAAACACTACTTGGGTGACACCTACAAGTTTGTTCAGTTCAGAGTACCGAGCAGGATCAATTACCAAAGTCCGAGGTAGTTCCGGGTTCTCAGTGGGAACAGTGACATTGGTCACAATGACTTGTGGCTTTTGTTCAGGCC